GGTGAGAGAGAGGTAGGGGGAGCAGGACGAAGGGAGGGGAGGGAAGAAGAACTGGGATTGATATGTAAAATTAAAAAATAAAATGAAAAGCCAGGCGGTGGTGGCGCATGCCTTTAATCCCAGAACTCGGGAGGCAGATGCAGGCAGATCTCTGTGAGTTCGAGACCAGCCTGGTCTACAAGAGCTAGTTCCAGGACAGGCGCCAAAACCACAGAGAAACCCTGTCTCGAAAAACCAAAAAAAAAAAAAAAAAACAATAAAAAATAAAATGAAAAGCCGGCGGTGGTGGCTCACGCCTATAATCCCAGCACTCGGGAGGCAGATGCAGGCGGATCTCTGTGAGTTCGAGACTAGCCTGGTCTACAAGAACTAGTTCCAGGACAGGCTACAGAGAAACACTGTCTTGAAAAACCAAAAAAAGAAAAAAATGAAAAAAGAGAGGGGAAAAATTCTACACTACATCAGTCTCATCCTGGTTTTCCAGAAGTTTCTATACTGGGGCAGATGGGTTTTACAATTTTTGATTGGATGGTTGGTTGGTTGGTCAGTTGGCCAGTTGGCCAGTTGGCTTTTTTCAAGACAGGGTTTCGCTGTGTAGCCCTGGATGTCCTGGAACTCATTCTGTAGAAGACCAGGTTGGCCTCAAACTCAAGAGATCTGCCTGCTTCTGCTTCCTGAATGCTGGGATTAAAGGTGTGTGCCACCACTGCCCAGCTGGCTTTTACAATTTAATGCATGCTAACAACATACTGACAGCAAACTGCCTCTTTCGAGCTCACAGAAGGTAAGGTGTTTTCAGGGGCAACAGGACCAAGGCAAATGTATGTAATTAAGCTTGGGAGACTCATCCAGAAGCCAGGAGTGACGTCGGGTCCCAGCTGAGATGCAACTGCGCATGCTTGGCCTGTTTTAGGAAGCATGTAGAAGAGCAGGTCAGCAGGATGAGGAAGCTTGCTTGGCATGGAGACAGCCTGTGGGAGTGTCGCAGGCATCAGGAACAACTCAGCAAACCCAGGGAAGATATGGGTGTGGCACTCATTGGTCTCTGGTGCCTAGGGAAGCTGCAGAGCTGGGGCAGGGGTACCAAAGATTTGTACACAGTGCTGTTCCCAAGGAGTAAAAGATGCCATCAGACTGTCCCGTGCACTGCAAAGTGTCCTTGTCCTAGTCAGACAGTGGACTACCTGAGACTCCTAGTGCAGCCTAAAGTTGTTCATGGTGCTTAAGAAGGAGGAAGACAATATGCCAGCTGTAGTGGATGGGAAGCTGCAGAGGATTGTGGGATTCCAGTTTGGCTGCTCAACTATGCCTGGACAGGAAGAGCAGCTGAAGGTGGTACACGGTTGATTGCCTTCCTTTCTTGCTGTATGGCCTAACGTGAGTCATTTTTGTCCTGAGCTGTTCAGGGAACTTAACCCAGTTGGGGGGGGGGGGTGGTAAGGTTGGCACCATTTCTGAACCTCCAATTTCCCATGGCACCTACAAGGAAAATAATAGATTGCAGCTGACTGAATCAGACCCTCTTAACCAGCCGTGGGAGAGGACAGTGGACGAGTCCCTGGTATGACGAGAGGAAAAAACAATGAACCTTCATACCAGTCCATCAATGATCAACACATACCTACCTACCAAAGCCACCCTCAGCTGGGCACAGTAGTGAAAGAGGTGACAGCCAGTTCCCAGCTTTAAGCATTCTGCCATGCCAGGATGAAGCAGCCCAGGGAAAGACATGACCTAGGACCAATATCTTGGGGACAGATTTGGTCAGCCACTGTTTTTTTTTTATTATGTTTACAATATTCTGTCTGTGTGTATGTCTGCAGGCCAGAAGAGGACATCAGACGTCATTACAGATGGTTGTGAGCCACCATGTGGTTGCCAGGAATTGAACTCAGGACCTTTGGAAGAGCAGGCAATGCTCTTAACCACTGAGCCATCTCTCCAGCCCTTGGTCAGCCACTGTTATGGCAGTTTATAGCCCAAATAACCTCATGAGCTAGACAAGCAAGTGGTATTACTGAATTTTTCAGCTGAGGACAAAGACAAGCTGGAGACTTGCCTAACGGCAAGGCTTTTCAGTAGCTGAGGAAAGTCCAGTACCCTCCAGAAGTGAAAGCATTTTATTTTAAACTGTGACTTGTGTCCACCCAGGCAGTTCTTGTTAGCTCTGTTGAGAGGCTGGGCTGGGAACCCTGAGCTTTCTGGTCCTCTCTGCATGCCTGAGAGTCACTGTGATGCAGGGCCACCAAGAATGGTAGGTTTCCTAGGATGGAGAAGCTAGCTATACCAGGCTAGGGAACTTCTCTTCAGAGCAGGACTTAAGTTCCAGATGGAGCATTGGTGCAGGGAGGCTGTTGGGGAAGCGGAGGATATTTAGATAGAACAGACCCAAATCCTCAGTAACAAAGGGAAAAGCACCTGGGAGAGCTTCAGGCGAGGACGTAAGAATCCTGGAGGCTTACGCTTGGCAGTGGGGGCGCACGCCTTTAATTCCAGCACTTAGGAGGCAGAGGCAGGTGGATCTGAGTTTGAGGCCAGCCTGGTCTACAGAGCAAGTTCCAGAACAACCAGGGCGACATAGGGAAACCCTGTTTCAAGAAGAAAACAACAAAGAAGAATCATGGGGGTTCTGGATCCATAGGGTGGAGCTTGAGGGAATGCCCAGAATGGAGACACAATCAGGCAGGCATCCTGCTGCCTCAGGCTTCACATCTGGGGCACATCAGCTCTGCGGACGGTGACCATCTTCCCGTCTACCTCAGCTCTTATATGTCTGAAGACAGGGGTCCCAGCTAGTGCTATGTGCAACCCTGAGGCTCCAGGACCCAGGTATCTGACCAGTGTTCCCAAGGTCAGAATGAGTCCTGATTCGTCCTCACAGAGGCCAAGGCCCAGCTTTAGGAGGAGGGGCCATGTCTGACCTTTTCAACAGGCAGTCCCTCTGCCGCCCCTAAGCATCCTCTTAGTTTGGCAAAACACTGCCCCTTTAGGGATGAAGACACTGAGGCTACACAGTCATCTCATTTGGTGGGAGCATCTTATGCCTCCCTCCAAAAAAAACCAAAAAGGTAAAGACAAAGGAAGAGGCCATAGAAACCAGCACCACACACATCCCAGTTATCTGCCTACCCTGGAAGGCCTTCTTGAAGTTAACAGGGTCTCACTGTCTCCCAGGAGTCTTTTGCTTTTATCTTCTGCCCCACTCTGGGCTCTGGTAACCACCCCCTCCTTCTTTTGATCCTATTGTTTTGTTATGCATGGCAGAAGAATTTGAAGTCAGAACCATCTCTGTCACCACAATGGGGTCTGGATGGACCCCATTGGCATTTTGGGATTGGCAGGCTACCCCAAGAAGCAGGTCCTGTGTACACTGGAAGTCAGAAGGACCCAGTGTCTGACACTTGTCTACCCAACAGCACTCACCCCTTGCCCAGCTTCCCCCAGGTCCTCCTAGCTTGGAGCTGGAGCTGCAGGCCATACCAGGGCCCACGCCCTGACCGGGCATACAGGCTTGCCATTGTCTGGCAGTGCCAGGCACCCACGTGAAGAATGCAAAGCAACAGGCTGGGGGTTTGTCCCTGCAGTGGGGACTGAGGCTGTGGGGGAGGAAGCTGGCCGTGTTGCAGCTCAGGAAAGGCCGTGGGATGCAGGGGGGCGGCTGGGAGGCCGGCCCGAGTGGGAGCAGGGGTGTAACATTCTTCCTGCACCCATGCCAAGCCTGTGGGGCTGAAATGAACGTGAGAAGATTGCTAATGAGACCCAGGGGAGTTAAACATTCCCTGCTCCTGAGGCCTGAGTGAGAAGGGGTGGACAGGGGTCTAGGAGGGGGCAGCCTGAACCCCAGGAATGTGCAGAGGCCACTGTCCCTGCCAGGCTGCTCTGGAGCTAGGGGCCCAGGCCTGCTGTCTCAGGTGCCAGCAGGAGCTGCTGAGCCAGCCAACAAAGGGATTAACTGGCTAAGCAGTTCTTCCTCCAGGCCCATGCCAGGTGCTGGCGCAGGTCTCTCCAGATCCCCATCACATCTGAAGCTGGCCTGCAGTCACCGCTGGCCCAGGAACTGTAGGGTCCCGGGTCCCTCTTCCGACTCCTCAGACCCCAAACAGACCCTACAGCACATGTTTCCTGGTTTGGTCTCCCCTTATTTTGCCACACATGACTTCCAGGTACCCAGGACTCTTCTCAACACCTCATTCTAGCCTAGTCTCTGCACATCTGGCCCCAGAACTCCTACCAAAAACTAACTCTAGGGGGTATAGCTCAGTGGCAGAGTGCTTGCCTCACATGTGCAAGGCCTGGTTTTCATACCAAGCACATAAGCAAGCACGCACTCACACACACACACATGCACACACACACACACACACACATGCACACACACACAAGCACGCATGTGCGCACGCACACACACACACACACACACAAGCACACACTCATGTCTAACTCTAGTTTTTCCTGCTATAACTAGAATCTCTTTTTTTTTCCATTCTCAAGCCAGTGGGCAAGAAAGCCCAGGTTCAGATCAGGGACGAAAACACAGCAAAGCCAGTATCCACCGAGCTGGAGCTTGGCGTAGGGATGAGAAGAATTCCCACTGAAACTGCACTCCTGAAGGGGTTTCCCTGGTTGGAAAAGCCTTGAGAGTCACTCCTCCTAGCCCCTCCCTTCCTTAATCTTGAGGCAGGGAGGGCAAGGGTACCCCATCCTGGGCACTGTGTCCCGCCCTCCACTCCCAAGAAACTGGGCAAGAACTCTGCCTAGAACTGGCTGTGGGCGGGTTTTGGCCTTTTCCAGCCCCTGGGCCGCCCCCTGCATTCTGGAATCCAGCAGCCACTGCCTTTGCTGGGCTGCCTCTAGCTGGCCGGTCAGCTGTCCCCTCTCCTCCCCTACTCCTGTGCCACTTAGCTTCCCTGTTCCAGCTGTTACTCTCACCATGACCACAGTGCTCCTCAGGACCCTGGCCCATCTCTGAGCCCTGGAATCCTCAGACTCCTCCCTGGGCCATGGCCAACTCCGGCCTCCAGCTCCTGGGCTACTTCCTAGCCCTGGGTGGCTGGGTGGGCATCATCGCCAGCACTGCCCTGCCACAGTGGAAGCAGTCCTCCTATGCAGGCGACGCCATCATCACTGCCGTGGGCCTCTACGAAGGGCTGTGGATGTCTTGCGCTTCTCAGAGCACGGGGCAGGTGCAATGCAAGCTCTATGATTCGCTTCTGGCCCTGGACGGTAGGCTTCGGGCAGGAGCCTGGGAGGGGATTGGGGAGGTCTAGGCCAGGCTCGCCAGGCTACATGCTCCATCCCGGTGTGATTCTCTGGGCTCTGGAGAGGCATCAGTACAGGAGGCTGGCAGACTGGGTTCCCTGTCCTGGCACCCTAGCCTCACTACTCACCCAACCCTTCATACTCTGATGTTCTCCTGTGTAACCAGGACACTAATACATAGGACATGGGAGGGTGGACTGAGATGAGGGTCTGCCTCTATAAACCTATTCATACCATCTGCTCCTCTTCTCTCCATATTCTATACTGACACGTGTACACACACACACAGGTGTGTACACCTCACACAGATGGACGCAAAGCACACCCTTGCACATGCTCACATACACACCTACTCCTGGGATGTGGCATTTCGACCGTCAAGCTGGCTCACAGGCAGACACTCTTACAGCTCTGACCTTGGCAGGGCCATCCCCCCTGCACTCCAATAGGGCTCTGCAGGTACCTGAGGAGAACGGCCACCAGCCAGCCCCACTGCATACTGAGCCAGGCAGATCACTGGTCCCCTGAACTGTCTGCAGCCTAGAACTGACCAGCACACCCGTAGAGAAGCAGGCATACCACTCCATGGATGATTGACAGGGCTGCTGCTGGGGACCACACTGGGCTTGGGTGGGCCTCACACTCTCTGCTCTTTTTGAACTGGCGATCCTGAGCGGCACCCGGCCCCATCTCCTGCTGCTTGGGGGTGCACCAGACCTGAGAGAAAGCAACAGAAGAGCAAAGTCAAGCTATCCCGTCACTCAGCACCATTCAGAGGAACCGGTCAGGGCCAGTGGGAATCCCCCCAATACACACACACATACACTCTGTTCTCATCCACGCACTGTCTCTTCTCACTAGCAGGCAAGTGGTCGGACCTCTTTGGGCCTCTGCTCTTTTTTTTTTGGGCCTCTTTTGGCCCCTCCACACTGGGTTCCTCCCATTCCTCCTTGTTGCCACCCCCCCCTTCGAGTTCCCCACTGCTGCTCAGGACCTCCTCGCTGTTCCAGGTCACATCCAGTCAGCGAGAGCCCTGATGGTCGTGGCAGTGCTGCTGGGCTTTGTGGCCATGGTGCTCAGTGTCGTGGGTATGAAGTGCACTCGGGTTGGAGACAGTAACCCCATTGCCAAGGGCCGTGTGGCCATCTCCGGGGGTGTCCTCTTCCTCTTGGCAGGTGAGTGCCCTGCCTCCTCCCCCCCTCTTGACTATGCAGCCAGCCTGCCCATGTGGCTGGCAGGGCTGGGCAGAACTGAGCACCTCCCTTACTTGGTCCTTAGGTCTCTGTACCTTGACCGCTGTCTCGTGGTATGCTACCCTGGTGACCCAGGAATTCTTCAACCCCAGCACTCCTGTCAACGCCAGGTGAGTGCAGGAGCTGGGCCTCCTTCTTATCTGTCTTCCCCTGGTCCCAGTTGCCACTTGGAAGAGGAAATAGGGAATGGGCCCCAGCTAGTTTCTGAGAAAGGAGAGTCACATGAAGGTCCTTGAGAGGGACAGGAGAGCTGCTGAGAACATTCTGGGGCAGCCAGGCCCCTGAGCAGCCCAGGGCCCTAGCTCTGGGTCTGAAGTCTAGCTCTATGCTAGAGTGACCTGGGTCACTTGCGATTTAACCTTTTCATGCCAGAACCAGCTCTCCTGTGGTTCTGAGGCTCCAAGGGGTGATGAGGAAAGAGGCTTTGTACAGGGCTCAGGATGCCCTGCAGTTTTGCTTCCACTGGCAGCAGCAGGTCAAGGTGGCCTCTTGGAGGAGGCAGTAGAATGGGGGTGGGGCACTGGTAATACAGACTGGAGCAAATGGGGAGCTAGGATAAGGCCCAGCAGCTGTGAGGAGAATTTGCCCCTCAGCTTGGGTGAAGCGGCAGCTGCCCTCTGCTGCAGGGAGGAGAGGCCAGCCCAGTGGAGCAGCTGCTGCCTTGGCCTCCAGGAGAGGGCTCTGGGTGAGGGAGGTAGCGGCGGGATGCAGGCCATGTACTCTCGGGAGCTACTGTGGTCAGAAATTGTAGGGTTAAAGGCATGGGGGGAGGGACTTTCTGAAGAAACTGGATGTACCTGGTTCTTCCCTTCCTCCCAGCCCAGCCAATTATCCTACCAACTCTGGGGTGGAGGAGGATGGGAAGGGATGCTTGGGCTGTCTCTATGGGAAGGCTCGTGGAGAAGACAGAGAATTTGGACAAGAGAGCTGTGCCCTGGGTGGGCAGCTACAGCACAAAGACCTGCCACACAAGGTCTATCCCAAGCAGGGAGTAGGACCATCACTTCAGGACTCCCGGGGCTGCCTGGGCTGAGTCCTGGGAACACAGTTAAGCCTCTGTCTGCCCTACAGGTACAGATCAAAAGATCCCTCTGGTTGGGGTGGAGGAGAGCAACAGGGCAAATATCCCGGTCTGGAGGTCCCATAGGAACTGGGCCCTGAAGGTAGCTGTTCTAGAAAGGGAAGAAAACTCTGGAAGAGCCAGGCTGGATGTGGAGAGCCCAGAGGATCAGACAGAAGAGTAACAATCTCTAGAGGGCAGCGAGGAGCTGCCTAGCTGGATGCTGGTCTGTAGACCAGACCGTGACTGGGAAGGAAGGCCACAGATTGTCCCGCTGTATCCATCTAAATTTCTGTACCCATCCCTCCACCAGCCAGATGAGGAACTGAGCCTGAACTGCCTACCTAGACTTGAGCTATGTGCTGTGAACAGGCTAGTGGGGAGGGAGGCAGGGCAAGCAGTCACCCTACCCTAGTTCATGCAGAAATGAGGAGGCGGCCTGGGCTATCTTGTATGCTGTCTTCTGTCCACCAGGTGCTGGTTGGGACCAGGCTGGTCTAGGGTCTGCAACCTGATATAGCCCTCCCTACCTCTTACAGGTATGAATTTGGTCCAGCTCTGTTTGTCGGCTGGGCCTCTGCTGGCCTGGCCATGCTGGGGGGCTCCTTTCTTTGCTGCACATGTCCAGAGCCGGAGAGAGTCAACAGCATCCCACAGCCTTATCGCTCTGGACCCTCAACTGCTGCCCGAGAGTACGTCTGAGTCGGCCTGCCCTGCCCAGCCCAGCTCATCTTTCCAGCAACCCTCTTGCCCAGAACTCCAGCCAGCCTCCATGATACCCTGGGCAAGGGTAGGCAGGGTCCAGATCCCTTGAACTCAGTCTGGAGCTCCAGTGTCCAACACAGGCTCTGAGCTAGACTCAAGACACTCAAAAAGATCAGAAGCAAGACCCAGGCAACACATGTGACCCAGTGAGACCCAAGCCTGTTCTGTCTATACCAGAACGAGCACACAGGGCCTCAGGCTCCTTCAGCTGCCCACTTATTAACTGAAGGGGCCACCTGCCTACTATATGCTGGGCCCTGAGGATCTCAGAGCAACAGAAGGATCCCAGCGCACAGCACTTTGGGCCAGAGAGCCCTCGTACCCATCCAGCAGCTCCTCCCAGCAACCAGCTAGAGGAAATTCTCTAGGCTAAGGACTGTCCCCCACATGACACCCAAGGACACTGAGCTTCAGAGAGAGCTGTCTGTTAAAACGGGCCTCAGGCTCTCACAGTTAATTGCCCATACAGGTCACAAGGTCAGACTGTCTCACTCTTGTCCCCAGGAATGGGCCCCAGGCAGGGCTGCCCTAAGACTCCTGTACCTGGGTCCTGACTCCACAGCCCCTGTCTGCTTCACCTTGGCTCCTCCCACTAACCCATTTTTTCTCTTTTGACTTGCAGACCGGTTGTTAAATTGCCCGCCTCCATCAAGGGCCCCCTGGGTGTGTAAAGTTCGGGTTCCCAGCCAGGCCCTCCCCACTACCACATCTAGACGGTGTGTTTGGTACTTTATGGAAAGAGAAGCGAATATTCAGCCCCGAGTGTGATGTCATCCTGTCTGTTCCCACGCGCCTAGGGTGGGGTCTGGACTAGAGAGGTCAGAACCAACTCCTAGGGCTATTGCGCTGGGCTCGAGGACACAGGCAGAGGAAGCAGGGAGCATTTACAGTTCCTGCTCCCTAAGCTGCCTGCCCCACCTTGGAGTTTGGTACCAGGACTTGGATGAGGGGAAACCACAGCTAGTCCTAGAGACCACCTAAAGCCTGACCTAGGAAGGGTGCAGGACCTCAGGGTGAGGGAACCCCTGGCATGGAGACCATCCCATAGGTAGGTAGAATGTCCTAAGCTCTCCTTGGGAGCCCTCCTGAAGAAAAGGACAATCTCTGTAAGGCCCAATTAAGGACTGGGTCACAGCTGAGTGACGGGACACTGTAGGAGCTCCCTCAGTGAGGAAGAGGACAGAGAGGACTGTCCTGCGCAGACTCCAGAGCCCTCAGCTCAGCTCTCATCCTAATCCTACAGTGATTGTCAGCTTCCTTGTGCTGGAGTGCAGCCAGGGGACAGGGCTGTGGGTCTTTGAGGCCAGGTATGACCTTCTAGAAGAGGTAAAGTCCTTGGAGGAACTGAGGGGAAAAAAGCTCAGCAAAGAGCCAGCCGTGTCCTTCATCCTCAGTGCTCCCATCCAGAGTGCGCTGGCGCCTGCCTTCACTTGTGGGCTTCTGCCACTCAACCCTCTCCCTGGACTCCAGGTCTGTCCCTCTCCTGAGAAGAGACATCCACCACTGCTCCTCTCATGCTTCCGACACACCTTCCTAGCTAGCTAGCTAGCGCCAGCTTCTTCCACTTCTAGTCTGTGACCATACCTCCCGCCAAGTGACTGAATCCCCAGAACCTTGTTCAGCTTCTTGTTCAAGACTGTGCAATCCCGGGGTGCAAAGACCAAAACACTACAGCTGACAGTGGTGGAGGAGGAGGGAAGCAGGCACAGAGATGCTATGGCCAGATAATGATATACCTGCTAAACTGCTGGCCAATTAATCTTCTGATTGGTGGCAGCCGTCAACCCCCATGGACGCTTCTGATCCTAAACAGGTTTCCTGAGCAAGGCCCCTTGAGCTGTGAGAACTGCAGCTGAGTCCTCTCTGGGTGCCAGAAACCATCAAGGGGTTCCTGGCCTTGGGTGCACATTGGAGTCTCTTAGAAGTGGATGCCCAGCCTCCTCCCAGACACGAAGACTAAGTTGGTCGGGTGAACCCGGGCATCAGAATTCACACAGTTCCTTTGCAGTGTGTGCTTCACACTGGCGGCACTTCCTTGAGGCCTACACTCAGACCCTCTGAACCATCTGTGGAGGGCGGAAGGAGCCTGCCAGAAGAGGGTGGGGGAGAGGCAAGACCAGAAAGGAAGTTTCATCCACCTCCTGCCTCTCCGGAATCCAGACCCTGGAGGCGACGCCCACATCCTTCCCATCCATGTTCCTTTGTCCTTAATGATTTCCACTTTGAATGCTGTTACACACAGCCCGACTAACAGAATTTGAAGCCTAGGAACCTAGTGTGACACAGATGTCCCCTTCCCGGGTCTGGTACTCAGCAGCATTTGAGTATGAAGCTGGCAGGAAACTTTGTGTGCCCTCTTAAGAGTCTGAGGGCTAGGAGGCTCAAAATTTGGTGGGGGAATTTGGAGGCAGAATGTACTGGCTATATCTTGTGGTTGTCAGGGGCAGGCTGTGGGCGAAGAGAGCTCCATGCAAGGACGGGACCTGGAAGTAGGGTGGCATCATCTGTTCCTCCATTTAAGGAAGCCCTCTCTTCCCCGTTCTGGGGACTGGAAGGGCAGAGGGTCAGACCTTAATGAATTACACAACCAATTTAGGCGGTGATTAAAACCGTGAGGTACTGGGGTGGGGAGGAAGTGTGTGGGAGACAATGAAGGAGTGAAAGCTGTAAGTTTGAGGACTGTGACCTCCCAGCATCTCCTGAAGCGACCCCATCCAAGGCTTTGTGTCCACTCTGCTGTTTACTGCTCTGGTCTCAGGCTGAGGGCTCTGGCAGACGCTGGGGAAGATAAGCTCACATACAAAGGGATGGTTCTAATGTCATCGCCGTTGTGTTTTAGTAAACAGAAACCCAGAAGTGAAATTGGCAATGTATACATTTAAGAACCATGCCCATGCATTCGGTTCCTGATGTCCCAGACCCTGGGGGAAAGGACCAGGAAGCTATAGGCTGAGAAGAACCTTGAAAACCAAGAATATGACAGAAGGCTTTGAGACAATTTCAAGAAATTATTTTTGTGCTACATAATACTGTAACTATGTGTGATAACGACACTTGAATATTGGCTATTTTTTTTAATTTTTTGATTCTTACCTGATAAGGTACAACTGAAACAATGGCTGGATTTGCTTTAACGTCTCTTAGAACAAGTTCATGGGCAAGGAAAGTTATGACATTGAGAAGCCCCATCCCCTGACGAGGTCCACTCTACCCCTCTTTGTACATTTGCTAATGAAAGAAAAATAAAAAGTTTGAAGAGAACTCCAGTGTTTGCCGGCTGCATCCGTCATCACCCTCACCCTAACCAAGGAATAAAAACCACTTGATATCTGAGCACACTCGAGTCTCACGGTGCCTCAGACTCCGTCAGTGCGTCACCTGGCCTGATGGCCACTCACCGTCTCAGTTCCCACCTAGGGCTCCTGTCAAGTGTGACGTTTTGACAAGACTTCTATGTGCACCATCACTGCCCGGCTTTAAAAAGATTTTATTTTTAATTATGTGTATGTGTTTGTACGGATGTATGCCATGTGAGTGCGGGTAGCCAGAGTCTGGACGAGGGCAGGGTGTGCTTGTGAACCAGGTGAAGTGGATACTGGGAACTGAACTTGGGTCCTCTGGAAGCAGCAACCAGGGCTCTAGCCATTCCTTTAGCTCAGCAAAAATTTGAGACAGGGTCCAAAAACTTGTGACTATCCTGTCTCCATCTCCTGAGTGCTGGGGTTCCAGGCATGCACTACTATGACTGTTTCATGTAGAGCCAGGGAGGAAGGTCCAGACTTGGGGCTTGCACACACTAGATAAACACTTTACCAATTGAGCTGATCTCTCACCTTCTCCATGAGTTTTTTGTTTGTTTGTTTGTTTGTTTTTGTTTTTTGTTTTTGAAAGGCCTGAGGATCTCAAGAGCTGATCTTAAAGATGTTCCTGGATTGCTTGTGCCTTCAGGCATCTGGCTGAAGCAAGTTACTGAAGGAAAATGCCATAGTGCTAGGTGTACACTGTCTCCATGAATGGTTTTTCAAATGTCAAATACAGTGCCAGTTTGAGATACATAATGTGTCAGTACATGACCTAAGAGAAAAGACATGAGCTCGGCCCAGTAGGGAAAACATTAGAAAGGGAGCCATGGAATCCAGATACCAAATGTCCGAGGATAAAGCCGCCGTGTAACATGTTCTGGGAGGAAGAGGGGGCTGGAGAAGGGTGGCAGTGTATGAGCTCCTCCGTGTGGACCATCCTGGCCTCCACACTGAGTCAAAGAGAAACAAACCAGCTGGCTACCTGTGATCAGGGAAATACAATAGCCAAGGAAAAATCAATAGGCAGGGTTAAAGGCCGACTAAACACAGCTGAAGATAAAATTAGCTTCCTGAAAGGTTGCAGAAGGCAACCGTATCAGCTAACATTTCATCTTGAGGTTAGGGAGGTTGCTTCACAGAAGTACCATTTGGGGTGAGACAAAGACACCCTAATGGCTACACCAGAAATCTCTTAGAACTGATAAACAGTTCATCAAAGTAGCAGGCTACAAAGTCAACCCACGATAAGCAGGCGCTTTCCTGTATACAAATACTGGATGCGGAGAAAAAAAATCTAACAGTTCTGCTCACCATAGCTTTAAGAAGACAACCGAGGAAGAAACCTAACCAAAGACCTGGAAGACTTGTACAATAAAAACCTTAAAACACAAAAGAGACAAAATGACACTAGATTTCCTTGTGCTCATGGATTGGAAACATTAAAAGTATAAAAATGGCTATCCTATCAAAAGCTATCAGCAGATTCATTACAATTCCCATCAAAATCCAAAGTCATTCTTCATAGGAATAGGGGGGAAAAGCAATGCTAAAAACTCTTGTGGAGGCAGGTGGATCTCTGTGAGTTCGAGACCAGCCTGATCTACAAGAGCTAGTTCCAGGACAGGCTCCAAAGCTACAGAGAAACCCTTGTTTCAAAACAACAACAACAACAACAAACAAACAAACAAACAAAAAAACTCACGGAGAAGGTGAGAGATCAGCTCAATTGGTAAAGTGTTTATCTAGTGTGTGCAAGCCCCAAGTCTGGACCCTCCTCCCTGGCTCTACATGAAACAGTCATAGTAGTGCATGCCTGGAACCCCAGCACTCAGGAGATGGAGACAGGATAGTCACAAGTTTTTGGACCCTGTCTCAAATTTTTGCTGAGCTAAAGGAATGGCTAGAGCCCTGGTTGCTGCTTCCAGAGGACCCAAGTTCAGTTCCCAGTATCCACTTCACCTGGTTCACAAGCACACCCTGCCCTCGTCCAGACTCTGGCTACCCGCACTCACATGGCATACATCCGTACAAACACATACACATAATTAAAAATAAAATCTTTTTAAAGCCGGGCAGTGATGGTGCACATAGAAGTCTTGTCAAAACGTCACACTTGACAGGAGCCCTAGGTGGGAACTGAGACGGTGAGTGGCCATCAGGCCAGGTGACGCACTGACGGAGTCTGAGGCACCGTGAGACTCGAGTGTGCTCAGATATCAAGTGGTTTTTATTCCTTGGTTAGGGTGAGGGTGATGACGGATGCAGCCGGCAAACACTGGAGTTCTCTTCAAACTTTTTATTTTTCTTTCATTAGCAAATGTACAAAGAGGGGTAGAGTGGACCTCGTCAGGGGATGGGGCTTCTCAATG